CATCGACCTGGCAATTCTGATTCTCCCCCATCGCGTCATCTGGCAATTGCATCTTTCGGTAACCAAGAAATTCGGTATTTCCGTCCTGTTCATTATCGGTATATTGTAGGTTCTTAGTTTCTTCCTCTAGAATTCTGGCGCTAATTCGATTTTTACAGTGCTTGCGGCGCCGCTGCCGTTCGCATTGCCGTAACGTGGACGTATTGCCAGTCAGACGACATAACCTACACTGTCTCGGCTGTATCACTCTGGGGATTGGCCGAAGTGACAGCCGTCTTCCTCGTCCTTTGCATTCCGCATTGGCCAAAGGTTATGAAAGAGATTGGCGTCACCTCATGGCTCACGTCATCTGTCAAGTCATTGATCGGTATAACTTCTTCCGACAAATCCGCCACAGTTGCGGTCGATAATGCCTGGAGTGCCAATGGCCCGGCTGTTGCAGTTTCCAAAGTGACTGCAGGTGGTGGGACAAACATGGAGATGACAGCATTTGACTCGAGAAGGGACTTGAATGACAGTAACGTCGAGCTCCAGGGCAGTAACGGTGGAATTGTGCAGACTATTGAGTTGTCTACAAAGTCGTCCACCGAGAACAGCGTTACCCCGTGGGATGTTGAGGATAGCTTTTACCGGCAACATCCGTGGGCCGAAAGGAAGTCAAATGTTCCTATGTAAGTAACCGTTATGTGAGATTTCCCATCAAGTTCAGATAGTTGAATGCATACTTCGTTGAACAAACTTTGGGCCAAGTGTTTTGTGAATAAACTGAGCCCAAAACCTAGTAATGAAGCCAACCTTGGCACATTTCTCGAGCCTGTTGATCATACACGAATACGACTGTATGAGCCACCAGGCTTCGTAAACAGCTCTGAAAGTGTGAGAGGACAGAATCACAGTGGTTGTCGTGTTTCATGGCATGTGAATTAATCTACGGCCCGTTACGCGTTGTTCCCGACATCACCAACCGCATACGTGTATGCAAGAGCGGGATTGGGTCGTTGGCGTGATTACCGACATGTAGGAGGGCAAACCAAAAAGTCTAGATCAACTAATCGGTGTGCTCAGGGAACCTCGACCTTTCTATTTATCTACTGCTACCACACAGAATGTGACTCAGGGCCTTGGGCCAACAAAGCCCAAGCATGCTGCAATCTCCTGTCATGAGAGGTCAACAGGACGCCCACCAACAAACCTTGAACCGCCAGCAGCCATCACATATTTGTGCCATATACCTACACCATAACACCAACGCCGCATCCGTCGCCAACGTGCCGACCCGGTGAAGACGTGCATTAGCCTTCCCGGTATTGTGCCCCAGCCCTACAGCGCATTTCCCTGTTTCCTTCCGTTGTGTACCGTGGGCACATATAGCAGTGACCAAACTTTTATCTCGGTCGGCAAGTAATCGCCAGTCCATCACAGTGTCGTTTCTTCACGTCGCCATCTTGCCTCCCTCCGCTCCCGCTTTAGACACCTTTCTTCTATCACCTACACGACGAGTGCTGACCTCGATTATCGATACACGACCATGGCTTCTTGGAGCGGAGGACTCGTAATGGTGGTGGGCTATGGCTCGCTACTTGTGGTGTCTTACGTAAGGTTTCTGCTACAGCGTTTCCGCGCCCAAATTGGAGGCGGCTCAGGACTGATGACTGGACGAGTGACAATCAGCTTTCCTTACTCTTCACCTACCGTGCCCGGTTTCACCCCCTGAGCAAGTATTCTGGCCCGAGCATAGCCAAAGTATCTGATGTCTACGGGGGATTTTATGCACTCCTGATGCGGCTTCACCTAGTCACTTACAGAGACCACATCAGGTACGGTCCGGTGATGCGCCATGGTCCTAACAAACTCGTCTTCAACTCCGCCGCCGCACTGCAAGGTAATGTCGACACAAAACTGACCTACTCACATCTATGCTGCCTTTGTATACTCTAACTAACATGCTTTTCGATAAAAGACATCTACAACAATGACCGCGTCACTAAATCCCACGTCTACCTCCTCACTGTCAACTCCCCCGGTGTTTACAGCATCTTCAATGCCATTGACAAGCACCAGCATCGCATTCGCCGCAAGCTCATTGGACAGGCTGTCACCGAACGCTCGATGCGCGCCTTTGAACCTACAATGACCAGCCAGATCAACATCTTCCTCAAGCGCCTGCTGATTTGCTCCGGGGCGAGGTCGCCACCACAACCCGTCAATATGACAGATATATGTAAACGGCTGGGCATCGACATTGTGGGGCTCTTGGCCTTTGGATACAGGCTCAATACGCAGACGAGAGCAAAGTACCAGTTTATCCTCAAGGGACTAAAAGCAGGGAACTACAAGAGCAACTCCTTTATGCAGTTCCCCTTGCTCAAGAAGCTGAGGATCGACAGTTTGTTGCATGTCCTGAGCGTGGCCCAGCGGACACGATACATGAGCATGATGGAGACGATGATCAGCTCCAGGCTTGCGCAGGAGACCCATGCGCACAATGACTTGTACTCCTTTGTCGCCCATGACATTGATACAGGTGGAGGCGGAGGGATTAGAGTTGGACAGCTGTGGACAGAGGCCCTCTTCTTCTTTCCAGCTGGTTGGTCGTGCCTTTCCCGTTCTCCATACTCAATGTCGCAGATGACGCTAACTTGGCCGCATTCATCATCAGGAGGCGACACAACATCTACCGCCCTCAGCGCCATGTTCTTCTACCTCTCTCGCAACCCAGACGTCTACAAGAAACTCGCAGATGAAATACGAAGTATCTTCACATCCGGCATCGACATTCAAGGTGGTCCCAGGCTCTCCAGCTGCCGATACCTCCGCGCATGTATCGACGAAACTCTTCGCATGTCGCCTCCTGTGCCTGGAACATTATGGAGGGAACTCATCTCCGAGGAGGCTTCGAAACAAAATGCGGCACCATTCCTGGTAGACGGCCACGTCATATCGCCTGGCACCCAAGTCGGGGTGAACATCTACACTCTGCACCACAACCCCGAGTATTTCCCTGATCCGTTCGTATTCTCGCCAGAGAGATGGCTCGTGAATGACGAGAAGCAGCTCAAGAGCATGAACTCGGCATTTGCTGCATTCTCGTTTGGAGCAAGAGGCTGTGCGGGCAAGGCAATGGCCTACTTGGAGATGAGCCTCGTAGTGGCCAAGACGCTGTGGTATTTTGACTTTGAAATGGCTGACGGAGAGTTGGGTGCTACAGGTGCAGGAGTTCCAGGTCCAAGGAACTTGAGAATTGGTAGGGGGAGGCCGGAAGAGTTCCAGCTGTATGACATCTTTTCGTCGACGCATGATGGCCCGGTTTTGAAGTTTGCTTGTCGCGGAGAGCTTGGGAAAGAGCTGGACTAACTTCCTCAGTACGGATCGTGGATAACTTGAACTTGGTAGATCACTGCAAAATCAAGAAGCACTCATATTATTGAGAACAAACATGTAACTGGGTCGAGGATTGGGATATGAAATGAACTATATGTGCCTTCTATGACAAATACCAGACATCAAGGGTGTTCTTTTATCAAGCAGTCATCAGTATCTCTCCATGATGTACCCCGTTTTCAACGAATCCCCCTCCTTCCAATAGCCAGCCTCCTTCAACAAAGCCAAGAGCTCTCCCTGCTTCTCCTTGGCCTGCGCAATTTCCTCCGTCTTGAACGAAATCTCGACGGTGTTCTCCCACTCCGCCCCAGTCCCCTCAGCAGCTTTGATGGGCCAAATCTCAATATCGACCTCCAAACCATTCCAGACTCCTTCATACCGCTCTGCAAAGACTGGTCCGTAAATCCTCGACCGGCTAAGCTCATCAGTCCCCCATCCCTTCACACCACCCCAATTATCGAATGTCTTGGGAGCGGTTTTCACGAGCATACGACGACAAGTCTCTTCATCGGGTAGTTCAATCGGCCCCTGAGAACCAGACCCAGGGACGGGAATGTTCCAGTCAGCGGCCTTTTCCTTCTTCTTTTTGCTAATTGACAGTGTAAGCTTGGCATAGCCCCATTCTATCTGCGCGTCGTAGTCTCCTGATTCGGAGGCGTCAAAGCCGTCGGATGAAGCTTGAGCCAAGACAGAGTCAATGGCGGTGGATAAGACGCTGACGGGGGTGTTTGGGTCCGCGTTGTAGGTCGTCAGGGGAGATCCCACATCGGGAAGGGGAACATCGAGAGGGACGGGATAGCGCTTTTTGTAGGTCAGCTCAATCTTCTTGGGTTCGTCTTTCATGCGCCTGATGCGAGGCGACCAGCCGGCCTGGTAGATTTTCTGGGTCTCGTCGGTGTCGAGGAATGCGACTGTCATTTGGATGGGAGTCGGCTTGGTTGAAGAGTCGGGGTTGAAAAGAGACAAGAAAGCGGGCAGCGGCTTGGACGTCGTTGGGTCGAGGACGGTCGAGGGATTGAGGAGAAGTTTAACTTCGAAGTCGGGGGTCATGGGGGCGGCTGGTAGGGGTTTGATTGGTGGTTAGTAACGGAAAGGGAATTCTTGAAGATAGAAAGGGGCATACTGGACGAAGTCATCGTGGGGTTCCTGCACTTGACTTGTTGATAAGCACCTGGCAGGGTTGTAAAAACACAGAGGATTTTCAGAATAAAGGTTTGAACTATTAGACTTGGAACGTGGGGAGTTCCAGTTGTTATCGCTTGCAATTGAAGTTGAAGCCAATGACCCTCGGATGAGAGGGGTTCGGGCTCTTCATATAACATATCGCCGTCAATGGTCTGGACTCGTCTAGGGCTGAAGATGACATGCATGATCGAAATAGTTTCCCGAATTGTCTCAGATTTGGTCAAATGAGCATCTTGATCAGTGGTCTGGTGGCTTGCCGCGTTCAGCTGAGCTGAAGAAGAGACACACCACTTCACTTTAGTACAATCTATCCTGCAGGATCGAGACCTGTCTGTAATACCGGTACACTGTCAGATGGTCATATGAATAGGGACTACGTATTAGAGTACAAAAAAGTAGGTGCGTGGGTGACGAAAAGAAAGAAAGACAAATTCTGGATGCACCCGGGATTGAACCGGGGACCTTTCACATACTCGCGGATGCGAAGCGAAAATCATACCGCTAGACCATGCACCCCAAGATGCTTTTGGCTCAGTTCGCAAGTGCTAATACTCTTTTCCCACCTTTGCGGGGTGCTCTCAAGAACAAAAGAGTCACCACACACCAGATAAAGAGTCCACGCATTTCGTCAGAGGCTCTGTAGTTCAGAACGTTGAACTCTGGAAGTATGAATACAGGTAAATCACAACAGTATCTGGGGGAATCCACTGTCAGCCCTCCGGCGTGGCTACCCATTACGTCAAGTCAGGGGATCGACACAGGCTTTCCAAAGATGTAAAACCCGGGTCCCGGGCAGGCAGCAGCTGCGCCAAAAAGGCCAAATCAGGCATCTGACCCCGCTTCATCTTTCCCTCGAACACAACCTGGACATTGGGCTCCAACGCTCCCTACGTCGCCTATCTCCAATAACTCTTCATTCTTAGCGCAACCGTTGCACACGTGACACGATGAGCTTTGGATTCGGCGTTGGCGATGTCCTAGCTGTACTTAAGCTTGCCAACAAGGTCCGCAAAGACTTTTTTGGGGCTCCGAAGCAAGTCCAGGATGTTTGTGATGAGTGAGTGCGGCTGCCTTGGCATCTGACAAGATATACCTGCGCTAATCGACATCCCAGAGTCCGCAACCTCTCCATCGTCCTCAGCGATGTCGACGTCACCGTTTCAGAATGCGAGCTCACCCAAGCACAACAGAATGACCTGGCCGAGATCCTATCCTCATGTCAAACAGTGCTGCAAGACTTGGAGCAGGTGTTGGGCAAGTTCACCGAGCTATCGTCCACCAACGATCCAAGTCTTGGCATGCGAGCGAGGCGAGTCTGGAAACAGTTAAAATGGGAACCTGGTGATATACGAGAGTTACGAGAAAGGATCGTTTCTGTTGTCAGCCTGCTCCATGCTTACCTGGGAGGCATATCTAGGTGAGAATCTGTTCCAATTTCTCTCCAAGGTGGAAAGTCGCTTGAGTGCAGCAACAGCTAATGTTCATTATCTCATCTACAGTCGAGCCATTCTGGCAACACAAAAGGGCGTTGATCGGCTGAATGAGCGAGAGGATGACAAGACACGTTCCGAGATCCTCAATTGGTTGACGCCTACTGAATACGCCACTCAACAGCACGACTTCATCAACAGAAAACAAGAGGGCACCGGGCGATGGTTACTCGATTCCACAGAATACCAAACCTGGATTGATCCCACTTCCGATCAGCGGACACTGTTTTGCCCCGGTATGCCAGGTGCCGGAAAGACCATCCTCACAGCCATCGTCATCGATGATCTGTTGACGCGGTTCGCCAGTGGTCTTGCCAGTTTGGACATCGGTATTGCCTACATATATTTCAACTTCCGACGTCACGACCAGCAAAGGTACCCAGAGGTCATGCTCAGTGTCTTGAAGCAGCTGTGCCAAAGCCTGCCGTCCCTCCCTTGCTTCCTTGCCGATCTTTGGAACTCACACAAAAAGAAGCAAACACGACCTACAGCCGGTGACATTGTCCGAGGACTGGAAGAAGTAGTGCAGGCGTACGCCAACCGGGTTTTTATTGTCGTGGACGCCGTTGATGAAAGTTCAAGCAACGATGGCACCCGCAGTCGGGTTCTTAAAGAGCTCCTTAGGCTTCAGGATGAGTCTAGTACTCCCTTGTTGCTCTTTGCCACCTCGAGATACATGCCAGACATAATGGAGACTTTTCGCTCCCGATCAACAACTATCAGCGTTGATATTCGCGCCTCCCGTCATGACATTGAGCAGTACGTGGATGGAAATATAGGAACGCTGCTGCCCTTTGTACGACGTAACTTGGCGCTTCAGACTGAAATAAAGGATGCAATATCGGAGGCAGTCGATGGAATGTGAGTTCTCTCCGTCCTTTAGGCTTTCTTGCATTATTGAAGTGGTGGCTGGGACAAGCAAACTGATTACAACTTAATCTCCAGGTTTCTCTTGGCCCAGATTTACCTCCACTCCCTGGGAGATAAAACCACGCCAAAGTCAGTGAGGACTACCCTCACCGATTTCAAGGAACGCAATTCGGGCTCCAGTGAGGCGTCCAAAGTCCAGACTCTCAGACGAGCCTATGATGATGCCATGGTGCGGATCGTCGGCCAGCGTCCCGGCTTCAAAGACCTCGCACTCCGAGCCTTGTCATGGATTAGTTGCGCTACGCGTCCACTAACAACGGTTGAACTTCAACATGCACTCGCTGTCGAAATTGGCGCGCCAGAGTTGGACTATGATAACATGCCGGAAGTCGATGATATCCTGGGCGCATGTGCGGGATTGGTGACAGTAGACGAGGAGAGCGACATCATCCGCTTGGTGCACTACACGACTCAGGAGTACCTCGAGAATACTCGGTCGCAGTGGCTTCCAGATGCCGAGGACGATATAACCCGTATATCTGCCACCTACCTCTCATTCCAGGTGTTCAGTTCAGGCCCTTGTCGGAGTGCCGGGGAGCTACGACGACGTAACAGGAGGAATCCCTTGTATCCACTGGTTGCTCTTTCTTTCGCCCATTATGCCTCAAGAGCTTCGAGAGTATGGCCCGAGGTGGTAGACTTCTTCGAGCTGAAGCCAAACGCGAGAGCTGCATATCAGTACTGTGTTAGTGACAAGATATGTCGTAACCTAACTGTATTTGGGCTATCATGGTTAGAAATTGTACAGCTGGCAACCTATTTTGGCCTGGTGGATGTTGTGGACTCGTTTCTGCGCCAAGGATACCTGAATACAGGTACGAAAGAGGAACCTGGGAAGGCCCAGGATAGCGCCCTCAACCGTGACGATTCGATACCTTCATCGCTGGTTGGTATTCACCCTTGGTTGGCTTTCAAGGTATCAAACCAAACTCCTTTGCACGTCGCTTCCACATGGGGCCACATCGAAATAGCGCGTCTATTGCTTGCAAGACCCGGTATAGATGTCAACGCATTGGACTCTAGAGGGTCCACACCGTTGCATGAAGCTGCAATCATGGGCCACGGAGAGACTGTTGAGCTGCTACTCTCGTGCTCGGAAATAGAAATCAACCGCAGGGATGCAAATGGCAACACGCCACTACATTGTGCTGCATGCGGAAAGCAGGCGGGCGTTGCGAGAATCTTACTCTCCAGGCCAGGCATCCTTGTGAACGCGAGGAACAACACAGGTAGCACGCCTTTACTCTTTCATTTAGCCGCACAGTGGTGCGATTCGCAGCTGGACGTGATGGAGGTCCTTCTCAACGCACCTGACATCGATATACACGCCGTTGATGACAACGGTGACACAGCTTTGTCGTTTGCTGTGTTCAGCGGACCCCATCCAGTCAAACGGCTCATTAGATGTTGGACTGCAAAAGCATCGGCACAGTGGCAATATAGCGGAACCAAGGCTTTGCAGAGAGCTTCAAGGGGAAATCAGGTGGAAATCGTCGAAATGCTTCTCGCGGATGATCGTCTGGGTATTGATCTCGCCGCTGACGTTGGAAGAGACTCGGCAATCTCCACCGCGGCGGTCTGGAATCGTGTAGATATCGTACGTGTTCTTCTCGACACGGCCCAAATACCCGTTTCAGAACAAGAGAGAGTAATGTTTATGGCTGCGGCCCGGGGCTTAGCTGTGGTGGTCAAGCTATTTATCGAGAGAGGGGCTGTTTCGACCGGGATTACAGACAGTACTGGCAGGACTCCGCTTGAGGTTGCAAGGAGGCATTGAATGCACCTAAACAACGACCTCCGTCCATTGAAAGTTGGTTGGACAAACTCGAGCCTGTGGTGAGACTGCTCGAGTCTGCTACATCTTGACCACCCCGTCCTTGATATCCTGGCGATACTGGGGCAACACTGGCTGCTGCGGTCAAGGAAACAGATTACCGGTAACCGACCGACGAGTGTCACAGCTGGCAGACTAGGATCAACTAAATTAACCTACAAAAAATGGAAGGGGTTCCAATGGGCTATTTTACATCCAAATAATGGTATACACGATTAACAGTAAAACCAATCCAGCTGCTTAATATTAATCAAGTCGAGGTGCTGTGACTTTTTGAACCGGGCTCGAAACGTATACAAGGAGTATCCAATGCCGGGACTAACGATTTCGCCTGAAGGCCCCCGGGCACTAGAAGCTGTTTCCCACCATCATCCTTACGACCACTGTAGTGGTCCATGGGGTCTTGATCGTCACGAGGTCACTATTAGACACATAGGTAGTCACTAGACGGGAAACTATGAAAGAAGGCGCCTAATATACTTGCGATACAGACACTAGTCTTCTTTATACACAAGTACTACTCTTGAGAAATATATACTGTAACTTGTTGGAATAAATGCCTTGACTGGCTTAAGTAGATGCCATGGTCAGACTAGAATAGAGGCTTTAACTAGGTGGAATAAATGCCTTCGCAGGCTGGAATAAATGTCCTGACTGGCTAGAGTAGATGTCCTGGTCAGCCTGGAGTAGAGACCCGAATAAACTGGAATAAATGCCTTAACTGGCGAGTATAAACGCCTTGACCTATTAGAATACTGTCCTGACTGGCTGGAATAAATGCCTTGCCTGGGCTGGAAAAATTGGACTGGTGCCTGTATATGAAAGCACGGGTAGTGCTTGTTTAGTAGGCCTCGGCCCTGAATGAATTGTTCGTGGTAAAGAATCTAACTTAAATTAATTAAAGGAAATCTAACAACAAAGGTAGCAGAATATGAGACTTGAGATGCAATGATAAAGGGAAAGTCAGCTACAACAACTAATTCAGGTAAATATCACCAAAAGAACCAAAGAAAACCATCATACAGCAAAGCAAAGCAACGCTAACTGACAATCATAACTCAACCTATACAGACAACTCGCCCATGAAATGCGCAACCAAATGCCCAACAGTAGGACACTTCCAGACCAAGGTAGGCGCCATCTTGACCTTGACCTTCTTCTGCACCATTGTCCGGAACGCAACAGTCATGACCGAGTCCATACCCATCTCGGCCAGAGCGAGTGAAGTGTCGACGCTCTCTTCGCTCAGTCCCAATGTCGTC